CTTAGGGTAGTAGTAGTGCTACAGTATGGTGAAAAAGTTATTGTAAGATCTAAGATAATTCAATGCAATAATATTTATATAATTTCGAATGTACATCAAAACAGATTGAGTGAGTCTGTATTCATACATACCCACACATCTAAAAATATTAAAAATAATTTTTTACAAAATAATACTTACATCTGTTTTTAAATTAAAAGTAATATTCAAAACCTCCGCCGCTATGTTTATAACGGAGATGTTTTCTCTACTTGTTTTTTTCTTTCTTTGAAAATAATTAATAACATTCCAAACAAGTTTTCTACTCTGAGAATTTAAAACTTCTCGGACCATTTCGTTGAATGTTAACAATAAAAACAACAACAACAACAACAATAACACCAACAAAAACAACGACAACAATAGTTACAACGAAAAAATATCTTAAACGATATATGTAGAGAGATGACTATTCGCACAAATACACCAACTAAATTAAGCCGACCCTGTAAATTTGCCCAATTTATGTAGGTACAAATGACAAGACAATCATGTTGTCGATCGTCTCATTTTATTCGATTGATTCTTATGAAACGTAGGTGCAGGTCTCGATGCAGCTGTGGAGGAGGCGTGTCTAGAGAATAAAGATAGGATATCTTCCGTTTGTAAGAACGAGAAAAACGATATGCCTTTAGTGTGTATTATTTATTGGGGACTTTGCCTTCTTATATCGACTATACTATACCTAGTAATGCCTACTAATTCTACTAGAGAAAAAAACCAACACTAGCAATAATAATAATTTAATAAGGATAACCGAAAATCTACTTAATGAATCATCATCATCATCATAAGGTCGTCAGTCTTAAGACTGGTTGGACACGTACCTCCACTCTTTTCTATGTCTCTAATGAATATTGGTAATTAATTTGTATTATTTATTGGTTACTATACTAAATTATTTGTTAGCTTGTAAACATTATAGACTCGTTTCAACTCAACCCTCTCGCTGAAAATTTGTCAACCAAAAATTAAAATTTCGTTGGCTTAAAGTTTAAGCGGGACTTAATGTGGTTTAGGGCGTTGGCGCGGGTGGTATTTAATGGAAAGTACGCCTGAACGAAGACATGAGCCATTAACAGTGGTGGTTTTGCCGGGTCCCCGATTATTCAGTACCCGTCAAGATAACTAACATCACAGACATATATTACAAAAGAAGTTCTTTACAGTGGCAATGAGCTAACCTGAAAAATTAGTATTACCAGATCAATTTCTTTTTATTCCCTAGTTGACAATGAAACTTCCTCATTATGACGAAAGAATGATGTTTAAACATAATTCGTAGGGCGCAAGAGTTTTCTTTTTTGTTATTCACAAGTATTGAATGAAATTTTCAAAGTGCAGGTAGTCTTTAAACAGCAAGGGTTCATTTGACTTTAAATTACCTAGGTCTAGGGATATTTCCGTAGGTCTGACAATGCTTGCCAAAAATCGAATGTGTTAATGGACCTCTCTCTCTTGCTAATTGCGTCAGAGAGAAAGAGAGAGCGAAAGCTGACGAGACAGATTCTATTAGTCTGCCATCTGACGAGTATATCCAGTAGGAGTTACTTTAAAAAGCTTTGGAAGCAATCCTGTTCGTATAAATCGACAGTCCTAAAATTGCAATTTCGAAATATTGATGTGCGCAGACATCGCTTATGGAATGCATATGTTAAGTGTTTGTCAGTTTTTTTTTTTACAAAATATGGATCAAAATTTCTAATTAATATTTCTCGAATAGCGTAAGAAGCTTCGTTCCAACCGGGTGTCTCACAACACGAGATAGATTATTTGTTATACTTGTTGTCTTTGTCTCCATTTTGACTTAGATTTATCTGAAAAATTATAGAGTTCGCCTTCCTAATTTGACCCAGATACAAAATTATTTGTTATACTTATTGTCTTTGTTTCCATTTTGGCTTAGATTTATCTGAAAAATTATAGAGTTCGCCTTCCTAATTTGACTTCTATTTCTATAAATTAGAGTATCGTTAAAGAGAGGATATAAAGTCCTGTAGAAAATATATCGTTTATCGTTTGTGCTTTTGAGAGAACAACAAGAGAATACACTTTAAATTTGTTGATCTTACTGCATTCACGATTAAAATAGTTTCGCTTATTCTTGGTACTTATTTCCGGTAAATTTATGTTCAGAGAACTTTTCGACTTCAGAAATTCTATTGTAAATTAAGTGGAATAAACGATAGAGTCAAGAAAAGCACAACAACAATAACAATAACAAGAGAACTTATTTCCAACTTTACCCACCGCAGCTCGCATCCGTTTCAAATGCCACCAGCAACTTTCCAAAAAGAATTCCATCTTTGTTAATCCTTCTAATCTGATGACATTTGATATTCCTAGCAGAATAAATATGCATGTGTATAATTTGTGCGATTCTAGTCCGAGGAAGAGCCTGGCGCTAACTTCTAGAAACTTTCACAGCAGTAAAGGCGAGACACTGCGTTTATACTGGTCATTTCTCAACAAACTGTATAATTATTAAGATAAGTAGTTACAAGAATGTACTTTGTCATTCCGCCCCAACTATGTACCCAAGTACAATTTACTCATTGTTCTTGCTCCTGCAATTCAACCGCTGTGTTCACTGCCTGGGCGTAACGTAGTCCTTCTAATTCATGTTGAACATCGTTACTTAGCCATGTAGGTATAATACGTAGTGAGTACTCCGAACCTGAACGTTACCTACTCCTTAAATTCATTAATTTAATTCCCAAAATGTCTCCAGGAGGATTTGTATTATGATGGAACTTATTTTGGTCTTATTGCAGCTAATTTAATTAATGTACGTCTGCTACAATTATTTGTCATTACTGAATTAATTTAAGGAGACAACGTTGAAATGCTTTTCGTATCTTTGCTGTTTCTTTGTATATAAAGACCAAGCACCAATATTAAGGACAGTGGTGGATTTTAAAATTGTTGAATTTCTTGAATTAATTTATATATATAGGCAAAGTTTTCTGAAGATTTAGTAGAAGCTTTTAAACGTAAAATTATAAAGTTTTCATCTCTTTTTTTGTGGAAAATGAGTTTGCCAGAAACAGACAATTTTTTAATGCGTTATAAATTAAAAAAAAGAAGGAAAAAGTGATGTCGGTACAGTAATTATGAGTTAATCAATTCTACCGTAAAATATGGTCTGTTATAGTGCACTATCCTTTAACCTTCTGAGTTCGGAAATTTATCTGTTTTAGCGCAGACACGTCGGGTTGCTGGTCGTCGAATTTTCCGAACCGCGGTCTGGTCCTCGTTTTAATAATTGCATGATATGGTAGGTCAGCTCGTTCATATACAAACATATATACATACATACATACACACGTATTATTTATCTTCGATGGCACTAATTATGATAAATGTTCAACCCCTTTGGCGACATCGAAATGAAATATTAGCGCTGCCGTGGACTAATACAAACGCGCTGAGAAAATAAACGGAAGGAATAAATATACATGGTACCTACCTGGAAGTTTTCATCTATTCCCGTATATACTATTACCAGGTTCAGAATCAAACATGGGGATATTTTATTACATGCAGTCATCACAAATTCGTGCAAATATCAGTTTTGAATAAAATTAAAATCACGATCCGCAACTGGTAGTTTCTTTTATAAATCTCTAACCAAGAACGTAAATGTTCTTATTAATTGGTCCCACTTGCCTATTACGAACGTACATAAGTTGTGTCGTCGATTTAATTAGATAATTCGAAATACCTTTTTTAGGAATGGCTTGTGTAATATACTATAGTAGCTGCAAATACTCGCGAGATGGCGATACATTACATCTATTTCGATATTACATACGAATATTTCCGAATGGCACCAGTTGAAGCAATTTTATGTTTGCGATTGTTTTAAAGTGTCAAATGCGTGAAATGGATGCTTATTATTTAATTTGAAAGCAAATTTCTTGATTGGTTTTTATCATAGATGGGCTAAGTACCCAGTTTGGATTCGGTACCTGGTGGATATTCAGCACTTTTTTAAGATATGACCAAGTATCACACATAGAAAATACCACCAATGGCGCAGTAAATGCCATCTGTAGTACGATGCTACATTTCAGGATTACGTATGCTCCAACAAGGTCCACTTAAGTATATGAATATCTACTTGCTGAAACGAATCCCGGCGTAGCTAACCTCAAGGTGATAAACACGTTACCATAATCGAATAAAATAATTCGAAGTGGTCTGCATTCTGTCGAAACTGCCAGACGCGGATCGCGATTTCGATCTGTTTGGATCTCATCAGCGCGGCGCAGAACACAGACCAACTTTTACCATGATTATGGTAACGTGCCTATCACGTTAGGTTAGTTACGCCGGGATTCGCTTCAGCAAGTAGATATCCATATATTTAAATGGACCTTGTTGGAGCATACGTAATTCTAAAATGTAGCATCGTACTACAGATGGCGTTCACCACGCCATTTGTAGTATTTTCTAAAACGCGCTGTTAAGACAGCAGGTAAAGGTAGGTCTGTGTTCTGTCGGAGCTGCCTGCGACGCGCTGATGAGATCCAAAAAGATCGAAATCGCGATCCGCGTCTGGCAGTTTCGACAGAATATAGACCCCTTCGAATTATTTAATTCAAGTATATACATGTATAATAGGCTCATTTCAACGGTTTCAACTTAACTCTCGTTGAAAATTCGCCTATTAAGAATAATAAAAATTTCATTGGTTTAGTCTTTAAATGATTTCTTGAACAGGAATTAATGACTGCTTTGGTACGTTAGTGAGGGTAGTTTTTGATGAAAAGTCCGCCGGAACTAAGACATAAACCATTAGCAGCTAATGCCAGGTACTCGGTTATCCGCTGCATCTCCAGTTTTTATAAACATGCATTTGATATGGTTATAATTGGTTATAATTTATAATATTGTCAATATCTCTTCGTTATTGTTTACGTAATTGTAATATATTTTTCTGTTTCTTTTTGTTACAGGTTCATCCGCGTAATTGCCATATGATCAAACTAACGGTCGGTATTCTTCGTTACTTCAACTACTATTACTATTCTTACCATTACTACCGCTCCGCAATCTTCATTCGCAGCTTATCTCCGTCTGCTTCCTTTCGTCTTTCACCCGTCTTTTCCAATCTGATAGGGGAGCCCGTAGTACCGTGAGAATACGCGCCGATAACATTTAGAAAACATATAATAATTATTATTATTATGGTATTAGTGAAATTTATCAGTGTTCTATGCTTCGTAATCGCTTGTCTTTTCGGCATCGCGTTCGCGTCGATTGTGTCGTCTTCGAGGAGGCCAATTTACTCCAATGAGTTCGCTGTCCACGTCCCGGAGGGTAAGGGTGCAGCAGATGTCATCGCCTCTAAACATGGTTTTGTAAACAGGGGACAGGTATGTAACTTTACATCTTCAAAAAAAAAAATACCAATTAGTAGATATGTTACCGGAAATGTATGAAATCTAGGAATTGTATACAATTCCTAGGAAATGTATGTAATTCCGAGGCTATTTGGAAAATGTATACTGTTTCAAAGATTTTTTAATAGACACGTATCCTGGGAAATGTATACATTTCCTAGGAATTGTATGAAATTCCTATATTGTACTAGGAAATGTATAAAACTAATGCTTTCTTAGGGGCATTAAAAAGACTCCAATCTGTCATAAACCTTCCTAACCAAACAATGACGTAACCAATGCATATGAATTTTTAATATGTTGCAGAGGTGAATATATTTTGATATATAAATGTTGGGCACAGAAGTGATAATGAAGCATGGTTTCGAACATTGAATTTGGATTTCCTACATTTCCGGAAAAAGATACATTTTAAAGTTATAATAAGATGAATTACAAGATCAATAAGAAACGGGAAAATTTTGAGGTTTCAAAGTCAAATTGTGAAAAACAGGACCCTGATAATTTTGAAATGCCTCATAGTAGTTGGTTGGTTTTTATCGGAAACGTATGAAAGTAATAATAGCGGTTTGAAATATGTGGTGCCATTCGCTCATTATATTAATGTGCCAGGACATAATGAGGGTAGCTAAGTATGTTAAGAACAATGTTTTCTTAAAACGTAATCCGAAGAATGGAAGGTTAAACGGTTTCCGACAGGTTCATTTTAAGCTTTTAGGTACGAAGATATTTTTGTTGTTTCTATAAACTTCTTCATAGAGAATGGCTTTACACAAGAACTCCCTGAAACTTATAACCTATCGAACCTTCGAATTTAGTGTTGTATTATTTTTTTTTTTTAACTTCTCCATTAATTATAAACGCATACTTGCGACTAGAGGGGAGGGAAGTTATTTTTGAATTTAATTAGTATTGAAACTTGAAAATTGATCGATTATTTTAATTAATCTAATTATTTAAATTACCTAATCGGAATATTATATTGTTCATTACAGAATTTATCAGATGAAAATAAGAATAGGTAATATATATTCTGGATGAGATTATTTTTAAAATACATAAGAAAATAATCGATTACATTTCGATTAAGCAAGCGGATAATTTGCTCAATTCTTCTTGAGTAGTCTTGGGCGATATCGGTTATCGATAACAAAAAAATATCGATAACTATGGATAATTATTGATATGTGCATGCCTCGATATATCGATACATTTGATAATTATTGGTAGTTATCGATATATTGATAACAATAAGCAACTAATAACTAAAGATACATTTTTAATTAATAGTAGATGTTGTTTCTGCATAAGTTTATAACTGTTAATTTTTCACTTATTTTTCTTAAATATCTAATTTCAAAAATATTTAAAAAGTTTCCTAATTACCAATATATCAATATTAACGTGTTTCAAAAAAAGTGACTATTTTTTTTTTGGAGAACATTGGAAAAATGATGCTGTATTCCTAGACATAGATCCTGTTAAAATATGAATCTTAATATTAATATTTACAGTTGGCATTTTGAAATCTTCTATTTCCCATTTAAATAACATATGAACTTTTAATTTTGAAATTTCCTAACACGACAACAAATAGTTATCGATATGCATATTCGATAACTATCAATATATCGATATATATGATAGTATAACTACTGATATATTGATAACTATCGATATATCGATATTTTTGCCCAGTACTACACTTGAGTTAGTAAAACCAGGAAGCAGTTGCTGTCTATTAAAATGACTTTGCACGCACGCTTTTCCTTTTACTCGTGTGAGTGGGACGCAAATATTTATTTTTCATTTGGCCCTTTTTATAGAAAAGTTTTCGTCCAAGTCAGTCGTTTAGTCCCCGAGCAAAAGATAAACATGAAGTCGCGTCTCAAGGGCGGCTAACATGCTAGAAGAACAGGAATTTCTTTTAACATGTTAGATTTCAAGTATATGTCGAGACGTTTCCTTGTGTGGAGTTGTTTTAACAAGAGTTTCGGGAAAATGTTTAGAACATATTTTTAAACTCTAGCGGCTGAATAAGTGGGAAATTGTATTTCATGTCGTGTGTAGGTACATATTTTCCGATACTAGAAAAATTAACTAGTGATTGACCATTAGCAAAGGGCATATTCGCTTTAATTAAAGATGTAACGGCAAGCCGCTTCGAAGGCGTTGTTGAAAGCTTCACTGAAAAGTTTGTTTATGATTCTCCTATTTTCCTATCTTCAGCTAATCTTCGCATCTCCTCTTAACTCCTGCTCTTGTTTCCAGTATGTCTTCGACTAGTCCTTTATGCCAGGAAAGGTGTCCTTCTAATCTATTTCCCCTTTTTCTTATCGACTTCCATTCGGTCCTCTAACCTAACCTAACCAACCTATTTCGCCTATTACTTATTGAATTCCAAAGAGTCCTCTGTTCTCCTATTATTTCTAATGCCTCTTCATTTCTAACGTTCTCATTCCACGCACCTTCACCTTTTTCGAAATTCTAAATTAGTTATTCGCGAGCATAGAAGTTACTTCCCTTGCATATTTACCATTCTTTTTTACCTTTATTTATTTATTTATTATATTTTATATTTACATTTTATTCATATAATACTGGTGTGTCAATACCGCTCCCATTTTATTTAATGCTATCTCTAACTCCTTGCTAGATGCTAATACTCCAATTCCATCTGCAAATCCAAGCATACTAATCTTTTGTCCCTGTATATTTATCCCTTCAGTTGTCCTATCTTTAATGATGTTGTTCGCGTCTTCGATGTGTAGATTACAATCTGGCGGTGACAGTGGACATCCTTGTCTGACTTCCTTCCTAAAATTTACTTCTCTACGTTGTTCCTCAAGCCTATTGCTTTTTGAACAAAACTATGTACCACTCTTCTGTCTAGGTCTAGTTTATTTAATGTCTTGTCCCATTTAACATTGTCAAAAGCTTTTTCTAAATCTACGAATCTCATATACGCACTCTTTACTAGAAAAATTAGCTACTATTAAAACTATATTTAATGTCAAGCTGCTTCGAAGGCGTTTCTGAAAGATTTACTAAAAAGTTTTTTTATGATTCTCTGTTCCCGTATTCTATTCGTCCAATATCATTAATTACATAATAGAATAAGAGTTTTATACAATTTATGTAAACTATAACGTAAATTATCCGTAGGTACTTACGTATCATTTTAGTTAAGGATCTTGCATACAATTGAAACCGATTTTCTGAGGAAACGGTTTATCTTTATTACTGTCGTAAAGTTGATGATCCATAAACATTAATGGGATATTATAGCGTTTTGGCTTCAAATGAAGTTTTCGTATGGGTTTTTGGGATAAGTTTCGTAAATATATTTAATATTAAAATCAATATTCAGATTTATTAGGTACCTATATATTATGCTTTATAGAAAATATACAGTTTCTATTTAATATTGTAGTTGATTAACATTGTTGGGCTAGTTACTTAGTAAATTTGAAGATTATGCGATATCACTACATAGTATAAAACAAAGTCGCTTTCCCGCTGTCTGTCCCTATGTATGCTTAAATCTTTAAAACTACTCAACGGATTTTAATGTGGTTTCTTTTAATAGGTTGAGTAATTCAAGAGGAAGGTTTATATCTATAATACATGCATAATATAGCAGAGAAACACTGATAATTTTAGAGGTTTGTAATGTGATGTCATAAATCAACTTATTTTTTGCGTTTACATTGCAAACGCTGGCTGAACCCTACGAGATAGATCAAAATAATATACTACAGTATAAGTACTCCTTAGAAAGGTCTACAAAAAAGTCCGCCATGGTATAGTCTATCTCTTATTTACAAAGGGATTTTAAGCAATACAGCATTAATCCTTATCCAATTAAGTACTTTTAAATATATTGTGCATTTAATATAGATCAATATGTCCCTTTACAGCATGTAATTTAAATGAATATTTTCGAAGATATTACAGACTTAAAATGCAGAGACGTAGCGGTTGCGGCGTTACCGGCCCGTTTGTATTGTCTAATGACAAAAAAGCTGTGATTGTTGTGTATAATGACATTCTATAACATTCTATAGTATATTTACTATTAGCATTGCACCCGTGCGAAGCATAGTGTACAAATAATACCATTAAACCAATTCCTTAACTCTCATCCCGGTATGTTTGTGTGTTTGAAGAAGTTTCACTTCAGTAGCGTGTTGTATAATTACACGTTGTATTTTTTTTCTTTCATGCTTTGACATGTGAATATACTTGGCACGTACTATGTACCGTATAAAATTGAGATGTCAAAAAAATGAGAAAAGAAAAAAGAAAGACCGCACGTAGCTCCTTGTGGGAACATTTTCTTTTGAATTCACATGTGCGTGAGTTTTTCCGCAGATGCCTTTGGCGATATGTCCAGTTAGAGATAACGCCATTACCGAACGGAGACTCGTTTTCGTTTTCTTTCTTTTTTCTCGGACAATTCCCATCACATGGGAAAAGGCGCTCGTCAGGTCACGTCCACGTCCACGTCCACGTCCACTGCTGTCTGTCGGTTCGTTATTTTCGTCGCGCGGGCGGTCATGTCCGCTAAGCCGCGTATTGTTTGTTATTAAATTACAGAACGCCACCACCGCCGAGTTTCCTTCATGTCCGTCTGCGGAGATACCGTGACCAACGCCACAAAACATTATCTCTTTGTAAAACGATAAAAACGTGACTGACGCTAAACTACCCATACGTAGAGATACATAGATATATACATCCCCTTCGGAAGGATTGCGGTCTAATTATGTAGAATGTCGACTGCTAAGTAATGTAATATCTACAAGATAGAGCTAAGAGAGTAATTTGATGTAACATAATTAGCGGTTACTATCCTTTGCGGATTAGATGGAAAAGTGGAAAAGGAATGAATTTGAAAGAAACTTCTAAAGAAAACTAGTGAACGCTGAAAATTCAAGGAATTGAGTAAATTGAAATTAAGGTTTGCGATT